AATTTTGGAGATTTTATAAAAATCGGCACAGACTCAATCCAAGTCGTAGATTATGCGTGATGTAAACAACGGGTGATTAATACGTTATTTACATAGTAACACTGCTTCAGCTTTCTTCTTTTTAGTTTACCTACATATAGGAAGAAATATATACTACGGATCATATAGAGCACCTAGAACATTAGTGTTTACTATTGGTGTAGTTATCTTTATCTTAATGATGGCTAAAGATAAGTGGCCAAATTGAATGTTAATTTCTCATAATAAATGTATCCAATATAACTCATCATCTTATTTCAGTAAATCTAGAACTAAAGCGTTATATAGAATAGGTCCACATAATAAGGAGGTTTTATCTATTATAATATGCGGTATGCTTGGTGACTGGTGAGCAGACCAAATTAAGGGTCAAACATCTCCAAGTGTAAGATTTAGTATTGAGCAAGGAATAAATAATACTGCTTATATTCATAGTCTTACCTTATATTTTTATAAATTAGGTTATTGTTCTAATATCACTCCTCACTTTGTAAAGAAATCTGATAAAGACAGTGCAAAAGAGTTGGAAGATAGGTTTAATTACAGATTAACTCTATATACTTTTACTTCATTATTGTGAATTTATGATTCTTTTTATAAAGACGTAAACGGAAAAAAAACCCAAATTATACCTAACTGAATAGGAGAATACATAACTCCTATAGGTTTAGCTCACCTTGTCATGCAAACAGGATCTTTTAAATCAGAGGGGTTAATTTTATATACAAAATTTAACGACATTAATGATTTAAATTTATTAAAAAACGTTTTAATAGATAAATATGGTATTGATACTACGGTATTAAATCATTCTGGTAAGATGGAAATATGTATTAAAGTAGAATCTATACCACTTTTACGTTCAATTATTCATCCTTATATGTACCCTGAATTATACTATTTATTAGACAGTAATCATTTAAATACAACAGGTGGTTATATAAACTATAATGACCAAATTAAAACAGTTGCTACTTATGATGATGCTGACGTTAATAAAGAATTGGCTGTTAAAGAAAATAGGGGTAAATCAGGTATATATCGTTGAATAAATAAAGAAACCGGTAAAAGCTATGTAGGATCTAGTGCTAATTTAAGTAAAAGATTTTACCAATATTACAATTATAACCACATAGCCGATACTAAACGTAATATGCGTATAGATAGAGCTCTTTTAAAATATGGATATTCCAAATTTAAACTTGAAATACTAGAATATTGTGAAATATCTAATTTGATTGAAAGAGAACAATACTACTTAGATCTTTTAAAACCTGAATATAATATTTTAATCAGAGCGGGGTCAAGCTTAGGACTTAAACATTCAGAAAAAACTAAATTACGTATGAAAACTAAAACTCCAGAACATTTAATAAAAATCAAAAATAATATAGCAAAATTGAATGCTTCACCTTTTCCTGCGGATGTTAGAGGTAAAATTACCGCAGGTATGATTAAATTTAATGTTTTAACTAAAAGTAAAAAAGTTGTATTTACTAATATAGAAACAAATGAAAAATTAGTTTTTAATTCATTTAGAGATGCATCTCTAAATATGAAGATATCTAGAAATACAATTAATAAATACCTAGTTAGTAAGGAGATATATGGTAAGTACAAAATAACTTTAACATAGTTTTTCTACAGTAAAACCCCGCAAGATGGTTCTAGACAAGCAAAACAAGGTATAAACATTGCAACTAATAGTTTTACTTTTAAAGAATGTACTTTTTTATGTGATATATTAAAAGATAAATATAATCTTAAATGTACTGTTGTAAAAACAGGGTATCCAGATCAATGAAAAATAAGTATTTGAAAAGAAAGCATGACTGATTTAGTTGCAATAGTTAAACCTTATATAATAGATGAGATGAAATATAAATTTATTGGATACATTTAATATGAAATTAAAAATCAAAGTCCGTCTCTAATAAAAGTATATGCAATATGTATATAGAAATATACTAGTAATAAGATTTTACTGTGAGATAGTATACCCTGACAGGGGTATAGGATAACTACTAGTTATCTGGCAATGCGGGTGAATACGGTTAAAGACTTGATATCTAAGTTAAGACCGTCGGTTCTATACAGGATCTCTACAGACTGGGTCACCTGTGGGTATCTGAAATGATATCTAATGTACAGTCGGAAATTTCTATAACAAATTTGTTATACACAAGGCTTTAAATGAGAAATATTATAAAGAGATTTAGCGTGTCTCGGGGACTAATATTTTGATAAAGTACAGGCGCGCTATTCAGATAAAATAAAAGGATAGTTAGCGGAAATTTAGACAGCTTTCCTGGGTTACCAACATAGCCCAAAATGGTTTGATATAAGTAATAAAGAAAGTGTAAATTTTAATAAAAAGAATGTAATGAATTTTAAAGTAAATAGTAAAAGACTATTTAACAAAAGTATAGTAAAAAGAGGATATTCTACAAGTAGTTCTTCAAATAGTAGTATAATGTCTGAAAGACTAGAAACAATTATTAATGAGTTAGGTTTAAACCTTGTGTATTGCTATGAAAATTTAAATTTAGAAGAAACTATCCCTGCCGGGATGAGCCCCATCGGGGGTCTTCCCAAAGGGTCAGCCC